TTTCCAGTTATACTGTCTGCGACCTGTAAACAAGAGCTATGAAAATTAGGCTTATGTAAATTAGAGCAGTCTAGGTCACAGGATGGGGTCATTGGATGCCAGGCTGCTGTTTAATGGTGTCAGATTACATTTCAAGGTAGGCAGTTTGGCATTATTAGTCTCGTGATGATTTTCCAATATAGCATCATTGCCATTTTCTGATCTTTAATTAATTAATGGTCACCTTTCTACAAATAGTTTTGAAAAAACTCCCCAACTACTTAGAGACATCCTCAGTCAGCTAGTTTTTGTCATCAGTTCCTCAGGTTTTCACCTCTGGTAGTTATCCATCTCCTTCTCCCAAGCACTGGCAACAATTTGTACTCATTCAAAGGCAACCCAACTTAGAACCTATTTGCAAATGTTAACACTATAAACCTCTCAGTGAAATTTATGATTACTCCACCATGTGCACATGCACGTGTGCATGCATGCATATGCCATGACATATATTTAGAGGTCAGAGAACACTGTGTGGAGTCATTTTTCTTTATGTGGTTTTCTATGATCTAACCATAACCCATGGCTAGGCTTACATGTCTAATCTCTTTACTCATTGAGATATCTTGCCAACCCCCATTTTCTCTTTGATGCTCCAGTAAAGAGAATTACTATAAGCAATGTCTATAATATTCATAAGACCTTATAGAGATAAAATATTGAAGTAGAGTAGAATATAGAAGAGTGAGTACTCATAGTGATGGCAGAGAGGAATATCACTACAGGGTAGATTGTGTACTTGTTTAAAAGCAAATACTATTCCTCTTAGGGGTATAGATTATGTTTCTCAGTTTGGTGGTTTAAATGAGAATGGCCTCCATAGGCTCATAGATTTGAAAACTTGGTTCCCAGTTGGTACTGTTTGGGAAGGACTGTGAGATGTGGCCTTGTTTGAGGAAGAATGCAATTGGAAGTGCTTTTAAGGTTTCAGAAGCCTCTCAACACTCCCTGGCCCCGCTCTTTGTCTTTTAGAGATGTAAATTTTCAGCTATATGTGCCACCAGGCCTTCACTGTGCCAATCAACTCTCTGAAACTCTAAGCATAATTAAATATTATATTTTATAAGTTGCTTTGATCATAGTGATTTGACCCAAAAAAGGAAAACTAAGACAAAAGTTAGTACCAGGAAGGAGGCTATTGCTGGGAAGAAATATGACCATGTTGTATTTTGAAGAACTGTGAAAGGTGTTGGGACTTTAGATGACAAAAGCAGTTTAATGTTGTAGAAAGAGTTTAATAAAGGCATCCTAACAGGAGGCTAAAAGGGAGCAGTGCTGAGAGCTATGCAGACCTTGGAGGCCCAGCTCAGGAGGTTTCAGAAAAGAAGAATATTAGCCATTGGCTGGTGAACACTCTTGTGTTTTGGCACAAAAAAAAAAGAGAGAAAGGAAAGAAAGAAAGAAAGAAAGAAAGAAAGAAAGAAAGAAAGAAAGAAAGAAAGAAAGAAAGGAAGGAAGGAAGGAAGATAGGAAGGAAAGAAAGAAAAAAGTGACTACTTACTTCTGTTGCACTGCCCTGTCATAGAAATTTATGTGAGGCAAAATTGAAAATCATTGGACTGATTTCTTTGGTGAAAGAGAAGTCAAGACAACATAATATTGACTCCATTACATGGTGACTAGTAATCATGCATACACAGGTCTCAGATGTAGGAAGCAAGTAGGGCAAAAAGAAATACAAAATGTACTGCTGGAAGAGAAAAAGAACACCAGGAAATTTAACGTTGGAGCCAAGGCTTGTTCTGAAAGAAATAAGGAGAGGAAGGATAGGTCTGACCTTCATTGAAATAAAGGGGAAAGATACAACCTAACTAAGACTACAATTTTTGAAAGTAAAAGGCCCAAGGAATTTTGTATTTCTTAAAAGCAACAACAAGTCAATTGATTGCAATTGTAATTTGATGGGATATGGTGTGTCATGCACGTGGTGCAGGTTTCAGAGTCATGAAGGCTATACTGAAAAGGTATCATGGCATCTTCCTCCATGGTTATAGAAAACCACTGAGGCCAGGCCTGTGTCTGTGAAATTCCTGCATGGAGGACTTGAGAAGACACTCTGTGAAAGTGAAAGCCTGGAATGGACTGGAGACCCGAAGCTTTGGGATATGCAAGAGTTGTGGACTATGTGCTGCATACATGGAGTTGAACCAGCCCAATGCAGGGAAAAAAGCAAGAAAAGAAAAGCTGTCTAAGCCCATTGACATTGAACACTGTCCAAAGCCCATTGACAAAGCCCATTGGGATTTGGTGTTTGTTCTGCTGGTTTTCAGTACAGCTTTGATCCAGTATTTTCTTACTATGCCGCCCCGCCCCTTTTTCCCCTTTTGGAATGGTAATGTATATTCTGTGCAACTGTATGCTGGAAGTATGTGATTTGCTCTTTGATTTTTACAAGGACTTGCAATAAAGAGACTACTTTGAGTCTCAGAAGAAATTTTCCACTTTTTAACTGTGTTAAGAGTCTGAACGGCTATAGGAACATTTGAAGTTGAACTGAATGCATTTTGCATTGTGATGTGGCTGTGAGTTACCTGGAGGCTAGAGAACTTTGAATGTGGTTGTTTGAGTGATAACACTCCCATAGGATCTTATGTTTGAATACTTGATTCCCTGTTTGTGGATCTGTTAGGCAAGTTTCTTCCTTAGGGTTTCTAATGCTGTGATGACGAAACACCTTGACTAAAATGAACTTGGAAACAAAAGCATTTATTTCACTCACAGTTCCATAGTTTATCAAAGGAAGTGAGGGTAGGAACTCAAGCAGGGCAGGAGCGTGGAATCAGAGCTGATGCAGAGGCCATGGAAGGGTGCTTCTTACTGGCTCACTCACCATGGATGGTTCAGCCTGCTTTCTTATATAACCAAGGACCAGATAAAACCACCCACAATGGGCTGGGCCATCCCAAATCAACCACTGATTAAAAATTCCCTTCCACCAGGATCTTATGGAGAGATTTTCTCAATTGAGAGTCTCTTCCATCAGATAATTCTAGCTTCTATCAAGTTGACATAAGACTAGCCAGCACAGGAGGAAGGGTTAAGGCGTGCGGCATTGTTAAAGGGGATGGAGACAGGCTTTGAGGTTTCAAAAGTCTGGTGCTATCACCAGGGTGTTTTCTGGTCCCATTTGTGGTTCAGAGATTTAAGATTTGAGCTTCTTCTGCTGCCATGCCTTTACTCTGTCTTCCTGGACTCTAACCCTCTGAAACTGTAAACTCAATTAAATACTTTCTTTTACTAGCTGCCTTGCTTGCAGTGTTTTATTACAGTAATAAAAAAGTAGCTAATACACCATCTTCACCTGATTAGGTGTAGGAATGTGTCTTGGGCTCATGTCCCATTGCACTGACATCTACGATTTATATCATCCCACGACCCTCAAATCTAATCTACCAGATCCTTTTCTATGGTAGCCCATAAACAATTATCTAAATACTTCAAAGCCATAATTCAGTTATGATCATCTGTGTTGAGTTTGATTAAGAATGACTTCTATGGGTTCATTTGATTGCTCAGTCAACAAGGGGTGACAGGGAGGCACAGCATCTGTCTATCTCTCTGTCTCTCTGTCTCTCTGTCTGTCTCTCTATGTCTCTCTCTCTCTCTCTCTCTCTCTGCTACTTTCAGATCAGGATGTAGTTTTCATCTGCTCCCGCGCCATGCATGCTATCAATGCTCCTTCCATGCTCCCACAATGACGGTCACAGACTACCCTCTGAAACTGCAAGCAAGCCCACAATTAAATGCTTTCTTTAATAAGAGTTGACCTTCTCATGCTGTCTCTTCATAGCAATAGAACAGTGACTAAGATGCAATGTTATACTAAATGCTTTCTGTCTTCCTTTTGTTATTTGATACAGTCTCACTAAGCAATCCAGGCTGGCTTCATACTCTCCATCCTCCTGCATCATCATCTTTAGTGCTAAGGTTTCAGACAAAGTTCAGTCTAGGTTGATAGCTGTTGCAGTTTAGAGGATTGAGAAGCAGATGCCTGCCTGTAAGGTGATTACTAGTGCTAGAAGAGAAGAGGAAGTAGGGAATAGACAGAGGGAGAACACCAAGAGCATTGAGAGCCACAACCAATCCCTTCCCAGTCTTTTCTCCTCCATAACGCAGGCTATCCCTTTGGATGAAGAGACTGCATCTGTAGCAAACCATTAAAGAATTGACAGCTAACAAGACTTCCCAGTAGCAATCATTTTTTTTTTTCCTCACTGAAAAAGAAACAACAGAGAAAAGCAGGTTTCATTTAATTTCTATTTTCTAATATCTCTCCCTCCGTCTCGAAGTTGTACCTACCTGTAACTACTGCAACCTCTCTGCCACCCCCTGAACCTAGAGCATTTCACACAGGGACAGGAGGATGTTGCGATGACAATGAATTCCTGGAGAGCAACAGTGAATTCCAGGGTTTCCAGCACCCAGAGAGGAGACTAAAATAGGATGGGAGATTTCTTTGTCATTAGTCTCTTAGATTGCTATGCAGTTGGAGGTGGAGGCGGAGGGTGGAGAAGAATAGGGTTTCTAGTTGGGGTCTAAGAAGATAATGTCATAAAAAAATCACACTACTTAAGAAAGACAATTCCTAACTAAAGAAGGAAAGGGGGATGATCTCAGATAATATTAACTTTAAAATCTGCCAGGAATATCCGAGACTGTTACTATGGCCGTATGCATGTGCAATGTTTGTGCCTCCTGCCATTGTTTGAGAATCCCTACCAGCCCAACAGTCCTCTCTATCAGCAGAATTCCCTTGAGAATGTGTGGGTTGTTCTCCGCTCTTAGCTGACCGCCAGGATCCGGGAATTCACAATGCAGGGCGCCTTTGAGTCCGAGGGAAGCAGGGCAGGGACCATCGCGACCGCGCTGGGAGGAGGGAGGAGGCGGCCAGCCAGAGGAAAGCATCAGGGCCTAGCCTGACGCAGCAGCAGCCCAGGAGGTGGTCCCCGCTTCAGGATACTGTTGGTCCTGCTCCTCCTCCAGCCGCGAACCCTAAGGGGGTCTCCGGGTCCCACCGCCCTCAGCCTCAAGCCCAAGCCAAGGGAGGTGCCCTCAGAGCTAGCTACGGAAGGAGGCGGGGATTGGAGCGTGTGAAGAGGAGAGGGAGGGACGGGCTCTCCTCGCCACTCGCCGCTGGTGGCCGCAGGCGCCCTGCGCTGCCGCCGTCTCCGGGCGGAGCTGCTCCCGGAGCCGCGACTGTATTGAGAACCTGTGAATGTCCGCGTGGACCAGGGCCGCGCGGGCCCCGCGCCTCCTACAGCTGGCTCCCGCGTGCTGCTGTGTATGTTCGCTTCTTGTCACTGTGCGCCGAGAGGCAGAAGGACTATGAAAATGATTCACTTTCGGAGCTCCAGCATCAAATCACTCAACCAGGAGATGAAATGCACCATTCGACTGCTGGACGACTCGGAGGTCTCCTGTCATATCCAGGTGCGGTAGCACCGGGGGCGGGGGGGGGGGGAGGCTGCAGGGCGGGCGGTATTTGCAAGGTGCAGGAGTGAATGAGAGGGCTCTGAGGACAGGCATGCGCTGGTGGGAAACCCATCTCAGCAGAGAAGCCAGGCTGGAATGCGAGATTTGCTTCAGTCTTCAAGAGAGGGGCTTTGGCCCTCTGTAGTTGTCTGTAGTCCTTACCTCAGCCCTCTACCCTGATGTGTTGTTCCCTGGGCTCACTTCACGTTACTCCTAGGCTGAGACTGTCAGCAAATGTCTCTTGCTTGGCGCTGTACTGGTCGGTCCCTTTGGAGCCTACCTCACCAGTGCATAGCATAGAAGCCAAGGTGCCAAGGGAGATCCTTGCATGCTACCCCTTCGCCTTCTTTCTCATCCACCACGTGGAAAAGGACTCCACCAGACAGGGTTCACTCCTTATTTCCCGCGCCCAGGCGGTTTGGGAACCTGCTTCTCATACCCTGATGTGTCTCTGACAGGAGTCTGACTTTTCTAGTGTGGTAATTGACTTCTCCAAGTTTCCTAGAAATCTTGGGCTCCAGCCCTTGAGGGATGGGATGCACGTTGTATAGATTTGGAGCTACCTCAAAAGAAACATGAAATTTGTGATTCTGAGAAAGGAAAAAGATTCATGAGGCTAGCAAACGAGTCCCACAGGAAGCTGAGTCTTGGGTTAAAGAGCTTGGAATTTTGGTGATTATTCACTGTGGTCAAGTTGGAGGAGAAGGCGTGTTGCTTAGTATTTTTATTGGTTGCTCCCTTTCTTGGGAGATAAGTGTCGTTGGCCTTGCAAATGTATGTGTACTGATGCTCTTGCTTCAGATGATGCTGTTGTTGGTGGTGATGGTGGTGATGATGATGTTAGTGGTATGTGTCTGTGTTTCTATGCACTCCAACAGGCTTGAACGTGCTTAGCTGCACTTGTTCAGATAGGTAGGAGTGAGCTTCTCCTATGACCTCATATGACATGCACGTTCAGTAAAGGTTGTAGCAGAACTAAGCACTGTGAGCATCAGAGTTTAAAATCTAATTATTTCCAGGATTTCCTCTTCCATTCTACTATACCTTGAGGTTCTAAGACCCATGCCTGTGGGATATGAGTGGATTAGCACCTCCTAGAGGCAAGAATCCACCTCTAGGTTATGCTTGAATTTCTTAAGTGACATTCTTTAATTAAAAGATAATTACATCACTTTCTTCCCTCCCTTTCCTCCCTCCAACCAATTCCACAAGTCTACTTCCTCTAATTCCTCTACTCTCCAACTTTTTCCTTTTACCCCATCCACAATCTCAACTGATGCTTTTGTTCTTTTATCATTATGGTTACATATATATGTATATGATGTATAAGAATATACATACAACCTCTTGAAAATGCTTTTATTGTTTGTGTGGATATGGTTTCAGGGTGAATCGCTCTCTATTGGATATCCAATAAGTAGACTCATCCCTGGGAAATGTTAATTCTCCTTCTTTTCCACAGTCATAATTGCCTGAAGTTCTTTATATAGGAGTAGGGTTCTGTAGAAAATTTCCTCCTTCTCAGTTTGTATGATTATTGATGTTGCCATTGTTCAGATCTTGTATATACCATTTCTATGAGACATTGTTTCACAGTGGACATTCTGATATTCTGTATCATATAATCTTTCTGAAAATTTTTGCTCAATGTTTTACCCAGTCATATCTTAGCAATAGATGCAGTAGCCTTTAGGATGTACCCACTGGGGCTAGATTCCCCATGATCCTTGATCTCTGCATTGTGTTCAATTGTGATTTTCTATGAGGGTCTCCTTTTGCTTTAAAGAGATGTTTCTTTAATGAAGGATTGTAGCTATATTTTTCTGTGGGTATAAGGATAAATTTTAGAGTGTAGGTAGAAGTTTTGTTGGTCTAGCAAAGTGGTAGTCATAGATTCTTGTCCAAGATCTATGACTTCATCAACTCAGGGAAGTTGGCTAGATTTACAGTACTGTTCATGAATTCATTCCTGTTGAGTGAACTTTATGTTCAACAAACAGCTGTTGTTGCACCTTTGTAGCTATCTGTCCGGCTGGTCACTGTCGTAATTCCTAAGTGTTGCAGCTCAATGGGACCATTGAGCTCTTCCTGTACTAGTTAGCTTTTATATCAAACTTGAAACAAGATAGAATCATTTAGGAAGACAGAACCAAAATTGTGAAAATGTCTCATCTGATTGGCCTGTGAAAAAAGCCTGTTGAGCATTTTCTTGATTTATGATTAATGTGGGAAGGCCTAACTAGTTATGGGCAGTGCCACCTCTGGGCTGGTCCTAGGTGCTATAAGAAAGTAGGCTCAGAAAGCCATAAGGACCAAACCAGTAAGCCCTGCCTTTCCACAGGCTTCAGTTCTTGGTCCAGGTCCTTGGCCTACCTTTTCTTCCCTCAGTGATAGACCCTTACTTGGAAGTTTAAGAGATAAACCTTTTCCTCCCCAAGTCACTTTTGATTATGGTTTTACCACAACATTAGAAACTTTACTAAAACATTTCTCTAGAAATATCCTGTAGTACTTTCTGGTATTATGGAAGCTAGAACACAGGAAGGAGGATTTCAGGTCAAATCCAGTTTAAATAAAAATAATCTGAGTTCCCTGTCATAAGTGTACAGTGTCTTTAGGAATAGAGTGTTACCTTCAACCTCTGAAAGGCAACAGTAGCAACAGCAGTATTCTGACCAACCATTCAAAGGGAGATTTCTCATACCCGATACTGTGATTTTTGTTAGTCTGTAGCTTTTGTGGAGGCATTGTCTTGCCCAAATGTGTGTGTGTGTGTGTGTGTGTGTGTCTGTGTGTGTGTGTGTCTGTGTGTGTGTGTCTGTGTGTGTCTGTGTGTGTGTATGTGTGTGTCTGTGTGTGTGTTTGTGTTATGTACAATTGTATAATTCTAGGTAAATGAAAAACAATAAGGTTTCTTCAGGCTTTATCAAACTATCTTGGTATTGTCTGTCACCTCTCATTCCTTCTGCTTCTGTAAAGACTGCCCTTTCTAGTTAGTTCCCCCCTCCCATTTTTCTGTTTTGAGCTTTATTTTACCCATATACTACTATTCACTTCTCAGCTGTCCTATCCTGTAGTAACATTATGCTTTCCTGGTTTCTATATTGTGTACTTGTTTCTGAAGATTAGGAGCTAGGGAGGGCAGATGAGAGAAAATTTGTGATAACTTTCTTTCTGGGTCTGGGTTAAATCATTCAATATAATCTTTCCTGAATCCATCTACTTATCTTCAACTTTTATGAAGATAAGATTCATTTTTCTTTACAGCCGAATAGTATTGTGTAGTATATGCATACTTCATTTTTAATATCCATTTGTAAGGATATAAAAATTCATAGAGAAGCTTGAGACCCCCTCATCTGAATTAAGGTTGGCAGGTTCACAGGCCTAGGTTCCAGGAACTAGCTGGCCACCCTAAGAAAGAATTAGCCAGGGGGCAAGTCAGCCAAGTTGTTCAGACAAAGAATGGCAGAACTAGTAATACAGGTTGGCCAAGCCGCCCTGGGAAGTAACTGACCACGAGGTAAATGACTAGGCTAAGGTCACCTTCCAGAAAAGAATGTATACAGGATGTTACTCACTCTCTACCCTGGTCTGTGACTAGTGGAATAATGGAAACTTTCTGTGTACAGGATGTTTCCTACTCCCCACCCTGGTTTATGATGTGGGTTGGAATTTCCTGCTATTCCCTCTTGGTTTCCCCCTTCACCCCCCTGGTTTGCGGTTTTCTCCTTTAAATGTCCCTTGCGCCAGAGCCTGGGGGTCGAAACACCTGCCCTTGTGTGGGCTACGAGTTTCTACCTCAGCATGCTGATTATTTGAAATATACCTCTTGCTGATTGCAACAAGAATCGGTGTCTCGTGGTCTTTGGGTGGACGTAATCTCTCGTGGGTTGAGTGGGGGTCTCCCCTCTCAGGGGTGCCTTACACATTCATCTGTAAAAGTACAATTAAGGTGTTTTCATTTCTTAGCTCTCATAAATAATGACACAGTAACACACAGCTAAGTAAGTATATGTGGAGTAGAATATCAAGTCCTTTAGACATGTGGCAAGGAGTGATATAGCTTTATGGTATATAGCATATGGTGTCTTTTTATGAGGTCTCACTCATCAATTATTTAACTACCAGATAAATGGAGTCCTAGTCAAAAAGTCCCATTTGCTTGGAATACATTTTTCTATTCTTTAACTTTAGGGTACTACCTATCTTTTAAGCTAATTCCTATAGACAATAGATACATTGACTTTTGTTTCTTAATACATTCAGCTAACCCATTTCTTTTAATTGGAGAGTTGAGACTATTATTCAGAAATTATTCAGTTATAGAAAAGTGTATGTAGATTGCATTTTTGAAGGTTTTGTGTTTTTAGTTTTCCATTCTCTTTCACAGAATTTAAGCTTCATTTGTTTTCTTTCTAGAATTTCTTGAGTGTGTATATTTTTCTCTTCAGTTCTAAGTATTGCTTCCAGCATTCTGCTTTCGTTGTTGTGTTGTTTTATATGAGTTGTTTTAACCTTGTGAAAAGTTTTGTTCTTTCCTTCAAATATGGCAGGCAGTTTTGTTGAGTATAGTAGTATAGGTTGGCAGTCATGGACATTTTGAACTTATAGTACACTTTCCCAGGCACTTAAGGCTTTCAAGTTCCCATTGAGAAATCAGCTATTGAGAGAGATATAATAGTACATTCTTTATAATTCTAGCACTCGGGAATCAGAGACAGGTGGATATCTGTGAGTTGGAGACCAGACTGGTCTACATAATAAGACCTTGTCTAAAAACAACAATAACCAAAAAAAAAAAGATTAGAAGGAGGAGGAAGAACAAAAGAAAGAAAGAAAGAAAGAAAGAAAGAAAGAAAGAAAGAAAGAAAGAAAGAAAGGAAAGAGG